AGTTTCGATCTTGACAGAAATGTATCAAACCTTGAGTGTTTTATTGTAAGGGCTTAGGTTACGGGTAACTTAGGTTCTTACGAAGCAGTGTTGTATTTGTTTGTTTGCTCCTCAGCTAAGTAGTAGGGTGTATTGCTTAGTGAAGAAGCTAGAAGTTTAGTCTCTTATTTGTAATCGACTTTTACTTTTGCTTGTGGAAGATTAGTGAAAGTGGTTGTTGAAAAGTCCTGTTGAGAACGGGTCATGATTTTACTCCCTTGAGTAGGAGGTTTCCACGTAAAAGTGATTGTCTCTTTTACTTTATGTTTGGGTTCTTTAATAACTGTGCACCAGTATTCAGAGGACCAGGTCTTATCTAAGATAAGTGGAAGCATACATTTCAATACTTTCCTACACGGCTTGTATTGGCCGTTCATAGAAACAAAAACCTAAAATCACAAAGTTTCTAAAGAATGACCTATGAGGCTCAACCCATGATCTGTAAAGCTTTTTACGATCCGTACTGTCCATTTGTAAGAAACAATATACTAAAATACCTATTTCCTGAAGTTTAATCTATGAGACCCCTTTCTACGAACTGTAGATTCATCTACAATGTACATCCTTCTCATCCTATTCAAGTAATTTTATGAGTATCTAAGATTGTTCTACGACTCTATTGTACAACTCTTATAACCAAACACGATTCATAAAGTCCATTCAGAAATATTGAACAGAACATATCTATGACTTGTGGTTATGGTTTCAATAAAATAAAGAAACTCCGCAACTAAAATGTGCTTAACTTTTCAAACCTAATCTGAGGGACTTTTGAGGTGTTACATATAGGGATGACAATGGGGCGGTACGGTTGTGGGGAAAACCAGCATAGACCCTCAAACATACTAACTCGCCCCGCTCCGCCTCACATAGCAAAAAATTGTGTTTTCAATCTGCATCCGCATAGACCCGTTCTGCTCCATCCTGCGTAGTTTCAGTTCTTTCTTAATTAAGTTTTGCACAACAAATAAAATTCATAAAACTTTTCTTTTATTTTTCTGCTAAATGAATAAACTTGTAACTGTTATACTATTTCCTACAAGCTATACATACAAAGAGATCATTGTCTCAATCATGTAGTTGGGATATAAATATTTTCTATTGTTTAATAGAAGGGGTTAGCAAATCTGTGGTCAAGCTTATGTCTCACTAGTGAAACTGTTTGCGCTTTGCGCGATTATATAAAATATTTATAAGATAATAATATGAAACATGTAATATTTAGGTTAGTATCAAATATATATATAATATTAATATTTCTCCTCGTCTTTTTAAAACATATAAAATATGTTTATTATATATATATATATATATATATATATATATATATATATATATATATATATATATATATTAGAACAAAATATTCACCGCGATAAAAATATTCACCGCGATAAAGTAAATGGAATAAGAGACAATATGTTAAATAACAATATATTATATTACGTTGAAAATATTTTATATGTTTTAATTTTCTATATCTTTTCTAGGAGTACTAATGTTCTATTCAAACTCTAATTTCATCAAAACAAAATTGATTTTTTTTAATTTTATTATTGCATTTACTTATTATAATATTTTAAATATTAATTAAATATTTATAAGACTTCCGAAAAATAAAACATATAAAAGTTATGAATAATATTTAATATCAAACATTACAAGTAAGATGAAGAGACATGAGTTATAAAAGACAATAAATGTATTACTAATTACGTATTGATTTTATTTGTAAAATAAATAAATAAAAATAAGGGGTGAAAATACAAAAAAAAAGAACAGAGAAAATATAATAATTGGTGACTACAAAAAAATTATAAATACATTTCGAAGCAGAAAGAACAGTGACAGATTGTTATATACACAAAAAATGACATCAAGAAAATAATATTTTTTTTAATTACTTTTTATAATTATAATAAAAATGAAACTAATCATCATAAAATTTGTTATTGTTGTTAAAATAAAATAATTATATTAATTTTTTTCATAGCAAAAAGAAAGTAGAATACTAAAGGATCAAATGATTAGCATTGACAATGCAATATATTTAGCTAAATAATTTATACAAAATAAAAATTTAAAAAACTCTAGCAAAAGTAGCTAAGTTGCTAATACAATTCAAAGTGAAAAAATAATCTCTAATTATGCTTCACTTTTTTTTTATTCTGCCATCTTTCTTTGCAAAGAGATCCGCGTGTCATCATGTTTTGATCGATATGTCAAACTCTTCATTATATGCAACCAACTGAATTTAAAAAATCATATACCAATTAAAAATAATTATATCTAAAGAAAGAACGAAATATAAACTATATTTAATATATTTGTATATTACCTTTTCAATAGTACTACCAATACTAAATAATAATTATTTCTTGAAATCTAACAAATATTATAATCAAACTATATTAAATCTGGAAAACTAACTATTAGAAAGAGCAATTGCATACAGACAACACATTGTTAAGAATTACACAGATTTTTTTAATCATATTTACTTGATAAATTATAATACAAACATAAAAAAAAATATTAACAAAGCATGTTTAAGTACATAAAAATAAAAAGAAAGACTTAGAATGAAATGTATCTTACCTTCATATATATTTTTTTGTTTCATGTTAGTTAATTCGCAAAAAAGTATGATGAAGAAGAGAAATTATAACTTTGTATGTGAATCTTCATGAAAATAAATATGAATTTATAAAGAAAAAATAAAGGAAAAGAAAAAATAAGGACTTGAGAATGATATATTTATTAACTTCATGTGCATTTTTTTTTTTAATGTTAGTTTCATTCACAACCATATACTAATTTATATAGACAAAAATAGAGGAAATAAAAAATAAAAATTTGCAATGAAATATTTCTTACTTCTATGTACTTTTTTTTTGTTACAAACCAAACCTATATGATGAAAAGAGAAATAATAATTATGAATGTGAATCTTCGTGAAACTAATATGAATTTATATGCAAAATAAAGGAATACCATAAGACATCATAAACTTATAAATTTAATTTGGAGGTTATGGACATAAAAATGATGACAGTTATGAATATTATTAAAAGTAAAAATTAAAAAGGGACAAGTCATGATTAGTAATCCCTTCTGAATAAATTAAAAAATAAAAATAAAAATACTTAAAATGTAAAAAGAAATTATTATGATTTCATGATTAGAAGTTTGATAAACAAATAGAAAAAAATATAGAGAGTTTTTTAATAAATGTTTCTACATTAATAAAATATTTATTTGTATAAATAAAATAATATATTTTATAATAAAATAATTCATTTAAATTTGAAAAAGTCAAAAAAAAATTATATTTCTCCTTTTATTATAAGTGAGATAAATAAATAAAAAAGATGAAGAGTTTTGTTATAACCGATCCTCTATTAATAAAATATTTATTTGTAATAAATTTTAATAATTCTTTTTATGATATAATAATTAACTTATTTTTAAAAAAAAAAAACTAAATGCAAATGGAGGCCATAAAGTGGTGTCACATCACCTTGTCTATTGTCCTCATGTGTGTGTGTGTGTGTGTGTGTGTGTGTGTGTATATATATATATATATATATATATATATATATTGATTTGGTTTTTAAATTATTTTTGGCATAACACATAAATATGACTCTTAACTTGGCGTCAGTTGACAACTATGACCTTAACTTTAAATGTGCACAACTAGACACTTAAACTTGTATAGAATTGAACAAATTGACACATTCATCTTACATGACACCCTATGTGAAAAGTTTGTGTCCTACGTGTATCATGTCATGTAGGACATGTGTGTCTATTTGTTCAATTTTATACAAATTTAAGTGTCTAAAATTATGGTGTATATGTTCACGTTCAAAGTTAAGGGTCATAGTTGTCAACTAACGTCAAGCTAAAAAATATTTATATATTATGCCATTATTTTTTTGTTAACGCACAAAATAATACAATTTCAAGAAAATTATAAGATACTGTTACAGTGTAGCTAAAGTGTTTCCAGAAAATTATGGTGTAACTTAAGTGTCAAAATATTTGGAAAAAAAACAATGACAAAGTAGCTAAGAGAGAAGCTGGAGTAACTTATAAATATTTTTCTCAATATTAGAAACTAATTAAGTAAAATTATGAAGAATATTGTAGAACATCTCCTTGAAAACTCAATAGATGATTGATATCAATAAAAATATAACACAATCTTAAGTTTTGTAAAGTGAACTCCACTGAAACTTGAAGCAAGAGAAAGTGGCGAGCGTATATCGAGAGGGAGTAGCACTTTTCACAACCCGCATTCACCTTACATTCCTTAAAAATTGTTTCAGCCCGCCCTGAATCACACCTGCATAAAGTCATACCTATTCCGCCCCACCCCGCATGAGGCAAAATTTGCCCCGCTCTTCATCCGCCCCGCCCTATTGTCATTTCTAGTCACAGGTTAGGGTTGGGAGGTTGAGAAACAATTTGACTGGAGGAGGGATTGGGGTTGGGGGTTGAGGTTGGGAAGTGTGCTTCTCGAAAATATTATTTTAAAATAGTTTTAAAATATATATTATTATTCGGATATAAAATGCCTACATTGAGTTTTTGTTCATTTTTTTCTATTTAAAATTTATTATTTAAGAATTATTTTAATTATAAATAATAAATATTTTTATTTAATTTGTCACTTTATCACGTCATTACAAGATCTATAGTTAATTGATTGATAAAAAAAATTCAAAATAGCACAACAAATCTCAACATCAATTGCTTAAAAATGAATGAGACATACTTTAAGTTCCTGACCGGAAATTAATACCAACTTTATGTGATTACATATGGATTATACGTTTTAAAAATATTATCTTAACTCACAATTGACTTAATTAAATTCTTAATTGACATTTGACCCTTACCTGGTTAAAGACGTTCTCAATATTAATTTTGAGACCCAAAAAAAAAAAAAGAACACCCCAATTCAATTTTCTTTGTTTGATTTGCTTTACAAACTTTATTTAAATTATCTTTTAAATCGAAACGCCATAAAAATACAAGTTTCTGGCAAGCGTTTATCTTAGCAGTTAGCCAAGTGATGAGCATTTGATTACCTGCAAATGTTTAATCAACTGCTCATTTTTCTCCCATTTAAACCCTAACCTTTGCTTCTATCATCTATCCATGGATACTCGTCGACCTTCTCGCCTTATCGATCCAAAGGTTCGTCGGGTGGGATTCTTCGCACCCGACCCGGATAACCATCCCAGACTTGCCTCATCTCCCTCCGGGTACTCTTCATCTCCGGCGATGATCTCTCATGCCTTCGACAGCGTCTCACAAGCTGTGCCTGTTCCCAATTCTACCTTGTCGCGGCCTCGACGAACTTCTTTTGACGAAAGTGAGCAATTTGTGGTTGGAAGTTACAATCCTATGCAGTCCGTGCTGGGAACTTCACCGGCATCCAGCGGAATTGGTGTAGATGGCGAATTTTCCGAGGACTCCTCTCAGTGGGTTCGTTTAACCGATGGTTTCGGTTTGACTTCACCTGCGAAATCAATGACTGAGTTGAAAGACGATCAGGATACCTCTAGCATGGGTAATCTAGAAATTTTATACTATTGCATTTGGAGTTAACATAGTGGTGCAAAATAGGCATACATTATGATTCCCTCAGTTTTAGTTTAGGGATTTTAATGTGGAAAATATCCACACAAAAAAAATTGAATGTATGTGGAAAATTTAAAAGAAGGAACTTCTGCTCATTTGCTTGTCTGCTCGATGTGGACTAGATGATATTGTAGATTTAAATTTCTGAACCCAGTCCGAAATACGAATTGGACACTAAAACCAGCTATTTTGTGTAGCTGTACTCTTCTGATACCATGTAGTGTCCACATTCAGTAGCATCTTGCAATTTTAGCTTTATGCATGGGAGTTTATATGACAATGTTTGATGCTATATTAGGATGACATATGGAGCATTATTACTAATGTAGTTCAAGGTTCGTCTGAGCTATCACATATTAAGAGCAATAAGAATGCCAGTGCTAAATAAGGCTTTGTGCTTGCATTATCAGCACTAAACTCATTTTTCGTTGATTAACAACAGTTAGGTTCGCTCAAAGGAGAGTTCTCCTCCCTCTAAAGAATTTTGATCTTGCCAGAACGAGTGTTTCTCAGATGAGGATAAAAGATCTTTTCTCTTGCAGAACGGGTCAGTGCACTAGTGGCTGAAACACCAACTGAAGTAGAAAGAAATGATAAGTCACTGAAAGAAAAGACCACGAAAGCTGAAAGGCGTGCGCTGCAGGAGACTCAACGAGCTGCAAAAGCTTCGGGAAAAGGTTTCAATCATCTTCCCTTTTCAGTTAGGAAAGCAACTACTATACATTATCTCCACATAGAGGAGCAGGATGGAAGCAAGGCTTTTAAAGTTTCTTTTCTTTCCGATAAAACTTTAGTAAACCGGTTTTTCCTTATTAAATTTAGATTTCATCTGGGGCTAACTTGTCTGTCACACAAATTTGTTTCATTTGTCCGGTGCCTACATCGGATCCCTAACTAGGATTCGTGCCAGTAGCCCATTTATGGGGGAATTGCTCCCTATCAGAATTTTCTCCATACCCAAGGCTCGAACCCCATACTCTGGTCAAGGGTAGAAGGATCCTATTCATCCCATCCCAACCTGGATTAGTTTGGGTTCCAATGTATGTACAGATTATTTGGTGTTAGAATTTCTATTATTGCTTCTCTCTTGTTAATGGATAATTTAGTTTATTCAATATGCTGGCGTTTTGAAACGCCAATCTTATGTTTTCAGGTTTTAAGTTTTATATTACATATTTCTAGAATTTCTGACCATGGGGGATTTTGATAATTTTGGTTCTGTCCAATAGCTCCTCCAACCTATTATTTGTCTACTCTTTTTGGCCTTAAATATATTTTATTCTCAGCTGTAGAAGCTGCTTTCGTTTTGTCAATATCTATTAGTTATGCTTAACAGCTTACAGTATTCTGTTCTTGAATAGTTTTCCCTGTCCCAACATATTGCCTCAAAGATATCAATTGGTTCATTTTGTTTGGTCTTTCTTTTTTTTGAAACACGAGTATTGGAGTGATATGGATTTAAATGGAGCAACATGAATTTTTGAGGATTCATATAGTCGACCATAAGTCAACAACTAGCTTTGAAATGAAGTGTAGTAGTAGAAGTTCTATTTTTTTTGGTAACATGACGGAAGGTTTAGTATTGTGGTATTACCTTGGAAAGATTTCTGAACAGTGAAAACATGATAGTAATTGGTAGCTTTCAAAATCTGTATCCTCTAATTAAAGCTAGGTCAGGATTTCTTTTTTGCTGAGTTGTTAAATTAGCTTTCTGAAGATGTACTTTATTTTGTTATCATATATAGCTGGGGGAAAATCTGTGGTAAAGTTACATGGACAGTCTGGTAAACCTGCTAAGCAGCCTCCACAAAAGAAAGATGGTGGACCAATGATGTCATCTGCAGCTCTTTCTGAGACAAAAGGAGGTGACGGACCACCAGAAAAGGATCGCAAGAAAGATGTACCAGCTCCTAGGATGCAATTTGATGATAAGAATCGTGTTGAAAAAGCTAAGAAGCGTGCACTAGTTAAAAAGATTGAAGCTAGAAATAGAGTAGAATTGTTTCGGCATTTACCGCAGTATGAACAAGGAACTCAGCTACCTGATCTTGAATCGAGGTTTTTCCACCTTGATACCATGCATCCTGCAGTATACAAGGTAACCTCCTCCAACCCATCATTTCCCATTTTCATTTGTTTCTGCTTTAATTTGGGAAACCATTTCAAGAAATAGTTGTATAAGCTACTAAGCTTGTTTTGGAAGACTTTATTCAGCAAGTAAGAACTAAGAAGGAGATTTGCACTCACATCTTCCTTGGTGAGCATGTATATGTCTTCTGATGCGCTAATACTATCACCACCAGACTGCTGAGACGACTGTTGACATGACTTTCACCTTTTGTGTTTCTCTTCTAACTAATTATAATGCCTCAATCCCAATGGAAGTGTAGTAACATGACTAAACCTTAGTCCTCATTAGTTTATATTGCCTATATGGGTTTTTCTTCCTTTTTATTCGATCTTTTGCCAAGTTTCATGAACTCCAAGAAATTGTATGCCTTTTGAGACGACTTCATTCTACTCTTCCCTTTTAATCCATCAAAGCACCATGGTGCCTCCTCACCTACGTACGGATACATTTGGAGATATAAACAGGATATGGTTAAACAATCTCAAGCAACCTTCTCTTATTTTGTCTTCTAGAATGTTCTTACTTCAGGAAAGAGATGATCTAATCTCTGAGCTACAGGCTCTTTTTAAAATTTTAGCATTTATAAGTTTCCTACTATAGGTAATTTTATTTTCTTGAACACATCATTATACAATGTAATTTTTAGTGTGAATTTTTGTACAACTGTCGGTCTTAATTTGTGATTAGATATGGACTTCAAAGCATTGTTAATTCGAGTATGATATTAATGTATTAGAAATGCTGCACATATTCATGATTAGTGGTGGCAAATGGGCGGTTAGGTCAAATTTGGGCGGGTTTAAAATGAGTCAACATAAAATGGGTAATAATTCAACCCGCCATATTTGATCTGGGTAACAAATGGGTTGGGTAAAATGCTTATTTAGTTTGATTGTATCATAAAAATATTTTTTTCGGGGTTGGGGGGAGAGGAATTGAGGGTAGGGGTGAAAAAATAAAAAGTTGAAGTTGAAAATATTTGTAAAAAACAAAATTAAAATTATTCTTTGGGGGTGGGGGTGGGTGGGTTGGGTGGGTTTTGAGGGTAGGGGTGAAAATAATGAAATTTTAAAGTTCAAAATATTTTTTAAAAATAAACTTAAAATTTTTTTGGGGGTGGGGGTCGATAGTAGGGGTGAAAATGTTTTTTCTAAATACCAAACACACCCTAAAACATGCTTAATGCACCTTAACCAATGTCAATACTAGTACATGATTTGCTTATTTTACACTATTATTTATTATCCAACGGAAAATTAAACAAATAAAAAAAATATAATTATAATCAAAAAAAGAAATGTACATGTAAAATAGATATTTTTGGAGGGCCAAAGACTTCACATTTTCAATTATAGAGAAATATAATTAGTTTTATAGAACATAAAAAGGAAGAGAAGTTGCAATATATTTGGTAATATCATGAATTTTGAGTTAATAAAAGTTAGAAGATTAACGTATTTGGCTAATCCATATTTTACCCATATTCTTATGGGTTGAATATGGGTATCAACCCATATTTAGCCATGTAAAATGTCACTCCCCCAACCCATTAAATATGGGCGGGTTACCAAAAAATGGGCTCATTTTGCGGGCACTATTCATGATTGATTGTGAACATCTTACCAGGTCGGATTGCAGTATTTGGCTGGAGATGTAGTTGGGGCCAATGCTCGCTGTGTTGCAATGCTACAAGCATTTCAACAAGCCATCAAAGATTACTCTACACCTCGGGAAAAAGCTCTAGGTAGAGATTTAACAGCAAGAATCAGTGGCTACGTATCATTTCTTAATGAGTGTAGGCCTCTTTCTATTAGCATGGGGAATGCAATTCGCTTTCTTAAAGCTCGTATAGCCAAGTTATCTTTAACTCTTTCTGAGTCAGAAGCAAAAGCTGCTCTGTATTCAGATATTGAGCGCTTCATGAATGAGAAGATAGCATTAGCTGGCAGAGTAATAACAAGACAGGCAGTTATGAAGATCAGAGATGGTGACGTTCTTCTCACGTATGGCTCTTCCTCTGTTGTTGAGATGATTCTGCTACATGCTTATGAGCTCGGGAAACAATTCCGTGTAATAGTGGTTGATTCTCGCCCTAAATTTGAAGGCCGGGCACTACTTCGGAGGTTGGTAAGGAAGGGCCTAAGTTGTACATATACTCATCTAAATGCTGTTTCGTACATTATGCATGAAGTCTCTAGAGTGTTAATGGGTGCTGAATCTGTATTATCTAATGGGACTGTGTACTCTATAATTGGGACTGCATGTGTTGCTATGGTTGCTCATGCATTCCGTGTTCCTCTGCTGATTTGTTGTGAAGCTTATAAGTTTCATGAGAGAGTACAACTTGATTCTGTTTCTTCCAATGAGCTGGGTATGTCCTGTTTATAGATTATCTTTCCTGCCATATATTACAACGTTATATGTTGCTTTATTGATTTTAACTCAATTGCAGGTAACCCAGATGTCATTTCCAAGATTCCTGGTAGACTGGATGTCAATTACTTGGATAACTGGAGAAGTAATGATAATATTCAGCTTCTGAATTTGATGTGAGTGATTTTCTTCTTTTAGTCTTCTTTCACAACTGAAGGATAAATTATAGTTACCTTTGATCGTTATAAAGCTCTCTGTGTGTTTTTTGTCCTTGTTTTATTAAATGGAGTTTTTATTGAGGGAGAGTTTGTTATGGTCAACTCCTTAGCTTCTTTCTGCACCATGTGCATTGATACATTACAAGGCATCGGGGTGGGAAGAAGAAACGTAACTGATGTCTGGGAAAACTTTCTTGACGTCAAGAAAGAAAAAGCTCACTTTAATCTTATGAAGTATTATGGAGTAGGAGTTCAGAAGAACAAAAAATATCTGCTAGAGCTACCAAACATTTGGAAGAACAAAGAAAGTTGTCCTTGAGCTACGAGGAGAAGTCATTCCTCACTGATATGGTCCTCCTAAAATCACTGCCTTGACACCTTTGTAAGTTGACTTGCTCAAAGTTTCAGGAACAGTTATTTAAGAATTGAATATCATTGTGAAGTGTGAACAAGAAATGAGTCCAAAAAAAAAGATGCGTTGTAATGCAAATACTAGTCCAGAAAATGTAAAAGTGAATCCTAAGACGCCAGTCATAGAGAAAGTGCAAGTCCTAAGATGATGTTGAAGAAGTACGCACAAATGTAGAAGAAGTTACTTTTGCTCAGAGAAGTTTTTAGTCTTGGAGGAAATTAGAAAAAAAAGAATTTTCTCATCCATCTAATATTTAAGTTTTTAACAGGTATGACGCTACTCCGTCAGACTATATCTCAATGATCATTACAGATTATGGCATGGTAAGTGTACTTCTCAAATTTGATTTCAATCTGAGTTCTTTGGGTGTCCACGTGGAGTATTAGATATATATTTGATTATCGCAGTGTGAAATCTTAAAGGATACAACTCTTACCCCTGCTCATTTCATGGCCTTTTTGTGTTTTCCAGATACCAACCACAAGTGTGCCTGTGATTGTGCACGAGTATGGGAGCGAACACCTCCTGATATAAATTGTCCTGTTTGGATGTGACAAAGAAGGAACAATTACCAACTTACTGGCAATTTTTGCTGTCAGATAACAACACCTTATAGGAAATGAATGCTTGCATTTAAATTATTTACCATATTAAAGAAAAGAATGCATGCATTAAAATTGTCTTGGAGATCATAGAAATTTGCATAGTTTTCAATAAGGTCTTTCTCTTTTTACTCTGTGTCTAACGACAGTTGTTCACTATACTAATTTAGAATGTCCAACAATATTTGTCCACTTTATTAGATTATTTACATAGTTCTCTGATGAAAATAACTAGGTCATAGTTGTCAGGTGAGTTGGACGGATTCCTTGTATATTTCAATGCAAAATGTCTCATGGAAAATTCTGCAACTTTAGTGACAGACAAAGGTTTTACTAGAATAAAGACTTCTGTAGTTGAGCTTTAAGGCTGGTAAAATCGTTGTCTGGGTTTCTAGATATAGTACACTAACAAAAATGTCTCAATTCCAATATTTTTCTAGATCAGTTATATGATTTACCTGTTCATTTCATGCTAGCAGTATTAGTTTATCATGATTTGTCGATAACCATCAACCCAATGCAATTTTCCTTCTTTTTCCCGGACTTGGGATTACCATATGTTTTAAAACTCACTTGAGCAGAGTTCTTTGATTCTCATAGACTACAGTTGCTTCTTTCTTCAATAGAAAACTATATTGTACAATGTGAACATGAGTAGTTTGTAGTTATCTATATCGAAAAGATTATGTTTCTTCCTGAACTTGTTTAGAAACGTCAGTTATGATCTATCACACACTTTACTATTTAAAAGTGAATTTATTTACTTTTGGGATGTGTAATACTACTCTCACAATATATGGTGTATTACATTCGTTGCCACTTCAGCATCGTATTAGAAATTATACAAAATTACATTTTTTATTTTTAATTAACTATTCTTTTGTTGACTATATTTTATACTAAATAATTATTATTCTCTAATAATTATATTGTTCATAGCAAAATTTTTAAAAAAAAACGACAATGGCCGACAAGAACACAAATTGAAATTTAGAGCCCTTTCACTCAAAGAAGCCAGTTATAGTTGTGGCGGCTAAGTAAGCCAGTTATAGTTGTGGCGGCTAAGTAATCCCCAATATTGTATTCTGTCGATGACATTAAGAAACTCTTTGTTAGCAAACACAAATCAAAACTCAAAAAACTTAGATTGATGAAGACGAAAAGGAAGAATGAAAGAAATTTGCTTAAAAGAAAGAAAAAAATGTGTTTCCTCAAAGAGGGTGGGAATGAAGAAGAGGAAGAGATGTGGATGATAGGGTGGAATTTAATTGAATTGTGATTATTTTTTCTACTTTGATAAATCTGACGCGCATATTTTTTTTATAGCAACATAGTTTGCTAGAGTATCTAATTTGTATAAACTGCAGGCATTAGATTCACAAGCATTTGATTTGTATAAAATCACAATGATGGTATATGTATATTGGTTACATTATTGTATTATGTAACTACTGTGTATATGTATATGTGATTGTGTTTGTATATATGCATAAATTTGAATTTGTATACAATTGAATCGAGTTAGAATATTTTTATTTGTATATCGATTCTCACTCTCTCGCTTTATACAACACACAAACTATACAGTATATTTGTATAATTTGGGTTTGTATAAAGCAAGAAAGATAGAAAGATAAAATAGAAATGGGTAGGTAAGATTTGTATTTTTATAATTATAAGTGTATACGATGAAGAGATCTCGCTTTATACAAATAAAATACAATTCATACATTTATGTTTGTATAAAGTGAGAGAAGCGAGCCAGAGAGTGGCGAGCGAAATTCATAGGAGAGAGGCGAATGGAAAAAAGTTTTCTACGAATTAAAATGAAATGAAATTGTAACTATAACATTTATTTTGAATTAATAGTTTACTATAATGCACATTTTTCCTAAATAAATTCACTTTTGAAATAGTAAAAGTGTGTAATAGATTGTCATAATAGTACAAGCGTGTAACTAACTTTTCAAAATAACTTAGGGAGAAATCTATGTCTATTACCTTATCAATATACCATTCTAGCATCTAGTTTATTAAAAATGGTACTTATATGTATATGTAGATTATATGCATATGTATATATTTTGTAAACTAATTAGCACAAAATATTATGCATGTTTGGATAAACTATTGGGGAGAAAATATCATCTAGATGGTTCCTTGGTATAGTTTACTCAAAATGTCAGTTTTTGTAAAAATAATTATTGGAAAATGATCTAAAATACTTTTGAAGTATTGAAAATGGTATAAAATTACCTTTCATCTATCTATTTGCTCCATAATGTCATTTTCATCCACCTATTGGCTCCAAAATACCTTTATCATCCATCTTTGAGTTCAAAATTGATCACTTATTTAATGATTTTAAATTTAAACTATTTAAATATTTTTTAAAATACTTGATGCTCAACTATTGGTTATAATTTAATTATTTGTATCATTTATAACAACCGACTACTCACCTATTACTAACTAAACACCACCAAATTAATAATCCAACTATAATATCAAAATCGTCATGAAAAATACTAAAACACGATAAAATTATAGATTCCTGAAAATGACATCTAAAATTATTCGAGTTCGATTCGAAGTCTCAATTAAATTTATGTTGAGCCGCTTATTTAGGAGGACACTTTCAATAGGATTCTCTTTCAAGATTGAATTAGAAATTTATGGTTAAAAATAAAGAAGTAATACATCCCGAATTAATTCATGCACTTTTTTAAAATATAATTTTATAAATATTTATGATTTGTTTTAAAACCTTTAATATATTATTTTGAAAAAAGTTGTCTATAAAGTAACATCACATAATTGAGACATAAAAATTATTAAGATGAACATAATCAGACTTTTAAGTTTATCGGTAATTTTTATTTAGACACTTGAATGTATGAAAATTTACTTCTATAGATATTTTCGTCTTAAATTTTTAAAAACACTCAATTGGCTGTAATTTTTCTGTAGTTGCATTAATAATGTGACGGGTTTATTAATTTGGAAGATTTAATTAGTAATGGGTGGGTAGTGGAATGATTTATAAATTATACTAATAAATTAAATTATAACAAATAGTTGAGTGTCACGTATTTAAAAAAATATTTAAATAGTTTAAACATAAAACCGTTAAATAAGTGGTCAATTTTGAACCAAAAGGTGGATGACAAGGGTATTTTGGACCCAATAGGTAGGTGGAAAGGGTAAATTTTGTACCATTTCCAATACTTTGAGGGTATTTTAGTGTGTGTGTGTGTGTTGTATATATATATATATATATATATATATATTTGAGTTTTTGTCAAAATTATTATTACGAAACCAATTTTTTACGAGGACCTATTACCCTGAGACTATTTAATACCGTATTTTTGCGCATACTTAGTTGAGTGTGTAACACAGACATTTTAATACATTAAATTTAATAATTAGTCATTTTGTTCCCAAATAATTAAACTAATTCATTAAATAAACATATTTGAAAAGGCAAAAGTATTCATTATCCCCCTAAACTTGAAGTTTTTTATTCGGTGTACACTTAAACTTTATTTTGTTTGAATTACCCCCGAACTTGTTTATTCATCCAACGCGTGCACCTTTTCTGTCCACCTGACATAGAAATTGAAATCACACTCTACTAGGCCCGTGAGGGAGTGATTTTTTGCCACGTCATAAAGCTACAACAATAAAAAAAATATAAAATCTCAATTTTTTATTAATATTGACAAAAAGTATTCATTACACCCAACATTGCCATGGTTCCCAAACATATAAATCCAGTAACCGATGTTTTCAATCTCATTGGCTATCCATGCCATCAACATTCCTATCAAAGAGGAAGCGCCGTTTTTTTCTCTTATTTCGGGGGGCTTTGGTTAGAGATGGTCCATAATATACTTTGCCAATTTTAAATCTTGTGTTCCTTTCAAGAATGACATTCTACTGATAGTGGAACCACTATTATGGCTGAGATGAGGAGGGAGAGGTAGAGAAGTTGGAATATGATATTAATTTTTTGTCATTTTAATTTATCTAGGTGGTTATTATTTATTCAGGTGAAAATCCACATCATCACTATTTTTGCCAGCTGACACGCGTGTATAGTCACACTAGGAGCAACAGAGAAAAGGGTGTACGTGATAGTGGAATAAACAAATTTGAAAAAGTAATTAAAATAAAATATTATTTAAATGTATACCAAATAAAAAGTTTCAAGTTCAGGGAGGCGATAATACTTTTGCTATTTGAAAAAGTAAAAAACAATGGAAATGAATCGTCACTTCTCTCTTCACTGTCACTCTGCCCCAAATTCTAGGCCAAAGAAGAACTCAAAGATAGCGTTTGAAATTGTATTTTAGAGAAGAACTCTTGTTTTAGTTGATAGCGTGTTTGAAGTCGTGTTTGTTGGTAGTGTTTGTGATCGTGTGTCTGAAATCGTGGCAGCAACTATTCCTGAACTGAAATCAGTAGTTCTTGAAGGTTAGTCCTTTTTCATGTTGTCTGACCTTACAACTGAATTTTTCATCCGAAATTATGTACTATGGAGTTATTGTTGATCTTGTTGACGTTATTATTGATTTTGTTAACGTGAAAATTGTTAAGGTTTGTCGATAAATTAAGATTTTTGACTATTCATAATTTTGTGTTTGTAATTGTGACTTGAGTAGATTGCGATTTATGTTTTAGTTGTATATGTGTACCAATTGTTGATAAATTTGAATTTTCTGTCTTCCTTCCAAATTTTTCAATTTTTAAGAACCAACTATTTTCTTCAGCTCCTATTTTATACTTGTGACATAATTTCGAGAATGTGTGCTTTTACATATATAATTATGAGATATTACCATGGTGGAATTTTGAATAGAAAGTGTCGAAAATCATTATATCAGGTTGAAGAAATCGAATATTCGATGTTGATATTGATAAGATGTCTTACTTCGACCTAACTAATGATATTGAGGAGTTAGGGTATACTAAAAGTTGCACATTTTATGTTAGACCACCTAGGAGTGAATTTCTATTAGATATACAAAATGATGAGGATATTTTTTAACTTTCACAAAACTTTAAAAATGGAGATATTGTTGAGGTCTATGTTTGTCACATGGTTGATGAATTGGGAGGCCCCATTGGTTTGTTGGAATACGCTCCTACCAATAAGGAATCTTTTGGTGCTTCTAATAAAGAAGGGTACAGGGGGGACCATGAAGGTGAGAGGGTTGATGATATTAATGAAAATGAGTTTGAAGCTACAACTACTCAACCAGTAGTTGCACTAATCAACCTGTAGCTTCTAAAACTTCTTTGATTGGCGACCCTGAGGTTGTTGCACCTACTCAATCATCAACTACTACTACTACAACTGTTGAGCCTGAGACTGATGCACCTACTCAATTAACATTTAATCCAACTGTTGAAGAGGACTTTTTAGTGCTAGATTCAGACCAATCAACTGAAAATAGTTCAAATTCAGACCATGAAGATCTATAAAATGAAGCTGATGGTGAATATCAAAGTGATGTCCATGAAGAAAATATAAACTCAAGGGTTGAGAAGATGTCATACCAAAAGAGGAAGAGAACAGAAAGAGCACCAAAAGACCCTGAAGAAGTTTCAATTGTTGAAGTTGGTCCAGATGTGAGTTTTCATGAGACTGAATCTGTTGATAAAAAAGGTAAAGTTGTTGGGGATGAGCATGTGTATTGTACTTCTGATGCTTATAGTGTTAAAACTGATTAAAATAATGAAACAATGAGAGATAGTAGAACTTTTTTTTATAAAACTATTGAAAAGGTTATATGACAGTTGGGCATGGTTTTTGAGAGTGCGAATAATTCTAGGGATGTTGTTACAAAATATTCACTTCAAAAAGATGTCCAGTTAGAAAAGTTTACTAATGACTCAAAAAGGTGAGGGTTAGATGTAGAGAGGGTATCCTTGGTTGTTATATGCAAGTCTTAATAGAGGTACCACTAACTTTGTGATCAAAACCTACAATCCTAGGCACAGATGTGTGAAGACCACAAGAAATTACATGTGTAATGCTAACTTCTTGTATAAGCACTACAAAGATATAATCAGTGAGCAACCAAACAGTTGAACTTTTAAATTTCAATAAGAAATGAGTTAGGAATATATGTTGGAAAGACTACTGCTAGGAGAGCAACACGAAGAATATTGCAGGAACGAATGGGTAATCATGTTTGGTAGAATTTTTTACTATAGGGATGAATTGTTGAGGATCAATTCAGGTAGCACTTGTGTAGTAAAAGTTGATGGTTTGGAAGGTAATGATTTTTCAGAGTTTCTATATATGTTTTGATGCTTGCAGAAATACTTTTCTTAGTGGACGTAGGAAATATGTATTGGTTTAGATAGATGTTTCTTGAAGGGTGTAACTAAAGGACAATTATTGGTTGCTATGGCTAAAGATGTCAATAATCAAATGTTGCCTATTGCAGGGAGTGTAGTAGAACATAAAATAAGAACACATGGGCATGATTTTTGAAATTGTTGAAAGAGCTGGGATTAGGTGATGGCAGAGATTATACACTAATTTTAGATATGCAAAAGGTATATTTTTGATTAATTTACTTGCGTTTAATGCATTACTATTTTTGTTACTGCAACAATAATGCTTTTTTGTTGATTGCAGGGGCTTACATCAATAGCCAAACATCTTTTATCAGAGGTGCAGCATAGGATGTGCGCAAGACACATTCTTGCTAACTGGGCAAAATATTACAGAGGTTTAGAAAGAAGGAATCAGTTTTGGAAATGTGTAAGAAACACCTTTGAGGAAGAGTTGAAGGCAAATTTGGTTCACATGGCATTGTTAGGTAACAAAGATATCGTTCCAGATTTACTTCAGTATGATGTAAAAACTTGGTGAAAAATTTACTTTGGGACTGATGTTAAGTGTGATATCATAGATAATAATATGGCTAAAAGCTTCAATGCTTGAATCTTAGCTCCAAGACATAAAACTATTATCACTGTGCTTGAAAAGATAAGGGTAAAGGTAATGAATAGACTAGGTAAATTTCATAAATTTCCAGAAACATGGTTGACAAATATTTCTCCAATGGCATTGAGAGTGCTTGAAAAGAACATAGCTAAGTCAATAAAATGCCATATTGAATTCAATGGAGAGAGAGGCTTTAAAATTTCAAATGGATCTTATGTCTATACTGTTGATATGAGGAGTAGGACATGTAGTTGTAAATCATGGATGCTCAAAGGAATGCCATGTCCACATGTCATTCATTGCTGCCATTCTTTATAAGAATTGGAGACCAATTGGCTATGTTAATGATTGCTACAGTAAGGAGACTTATCTAAGAACCTACTGTCATTATCTTCAATCAGTAACCAACATGAAAAAGTGACCTGATTCAACAAATACTCATGTGAAACCACTAGTTGTTAAATCTATGCCAAGAAAGGTAAGAAAATGAAAAGTATCGAGGGATTAAAAATCTGAAAAATTACCAAGAAAAGGTAATTACGTGACTTGTAGCATCTGTCATGGGAAAAATCACAAAAAAAAAGTTGTCCATTAAAGGTATGTCATTTATATGTAATTCCTTATTTATGGTATATATATTTGAGATATTTGACTTGTTATCCATTTGATGTTGTAAGATTTTGTTGCTGCTGGATCAAGTAATAAAGTAGGTACTTGTAGAGCAATTCCTAAACCTAGAGTAAGGCCAAGAAAGACACCTACTACTACTACTACTGATGGAGAACCTTCTAAGCTTAAGGGAACACCAAGAAAAACAAATGTTAATCTTGATGCACCTCCTCCTAGGCCTACGGGAAGGCCAAGAAAAACAACAAACAATGAGGCATCTGCAAGAATTTGTGGACCTATTGCAACATCAACTATAGGCAGGGGTATGACTCTTGAATCCCTTCATTTTCAAATCCTTCCTGTAAAATGATTTTCACACCTGGTGCAACATTAGAAAGAGACACAACATCGGTAAGGGCTGATACAACACCTGCAAGGAAAAGAGTCATAGGCATTGGAAGGGATGATAAAACACCTACAAGGGGAAGAGGCATAGGCATTGAAAGGGCGATACAACACCTGAAAGAACTTGTGAACCTATTGCAACATCAACTATAGGTAGGGTATGACTCTTGAATCTCTTCATTTTCAAATCCTTTTTATAAAATTGATTTTCATACATGTTGTAACATAGAAAGAGACACAAAACCTGTAAGGGCTGATACAACACCTGCAGAGGGAAGAGGCATAGGCATTGGAAGGGTTGATAAAACACATGCTAGGGGAAGAGGCATAGGCATTGGAAGGGGTAGAGGAATAAGTAATACGAGTGTTCAAGCACCAGGAAGGGGCAGGGGTTTCAAAGTACCTCTAAGTGGTATAGGAGTGTCAAAGAGGATATCTTTGCATGAGTGGTTTGAAAATTCAACAAGTTACACTACGAATGCTCCACCAAATCCACCTTTTTCACCTGTTCATTCTCAATTTAATGCAGTACCTACTAAAAGGTCCAGAACAGTTGGAATGAGAGCTTTATTGCTGAAAATAGCTTAACAATATACAATGCAAGTCCTAAAATCTCTGTTAACTTTGTATTAACTTCAATGTTTCCTTAATTTTGTCAAAATTTTCTTCCTACATATTACAGCCAGGACTTTCAAGTAATGAGATATTATATACAGGTTGTAGACAAACTATCAATTCTGTTAATGTTACTTGGGACCTTGATTTCAAACCAAGAACTAGTGTAAGGTGGAAAGGAAAAAAAGCAATGACATCAAATCAATTAGCGATGAGGGATGGGATGAGAGTGAACAAAAGACAAAAAATGCCTTCATGAGTAGTTTAACCATTTTGATAGTTTTTTGAGATAAAAGATGATGTAAGATTGTCACTGGGTAAGTTATTTCACCAAACAATGTGATCTTATTTACCATGTTTTGAAGTTGTGATGCTTTAGTTGAACATCTATGTTAACTTGATATAATGATTTTGTTAATCAACTAATGTATGTTACATTTGCTTGTTTTAATCCAATTGTGCTTTCTATTGTACTTTGTATCCAATTATGTTATGTATATGCATCATTAAATTTAAACACTTTCGAAGCAGTAACATACACGATAATCATTCATATAAACAACGATATTGCATCCAATACAAAAGTAAGTTCATTGACTTTAACCATACATACATCATACATACTAGCAAACATGAACACTTTGAAACTTACATCAACCGAAAGATATCTTCAAATAGTTATTTTAATTCAAACGACAACCTACGATAATATAAGGAGATCCTTCAACCACCTATTATGATCCAAACAGCAACATCAACCATCTATTATGATCTAAACAACAACATCAACTACCTATTTTGATCCAAACAACAACATAAGAGACACAAGATGAACATCCTATTAATGCTAAAGTAGCTACTCCGTTTCTTCTTCAATAAGGTAAAGATAGCTTGAGCTCCCATCTCTGTAATTTGTCTATCATTAAAGCCATTGATTTCTTCCATATCTTTCATTTTCTTTACATTTGCAACTAATAGTTCATTCATGTTCTTCATTTTCTGCACCAGTTCATGAATGATGAACTTAGAGCATTCATCAACCACATCATACCTCCATAAAAAAATATTTATACTTTTGTGATCCATAATATGGGAAAGATCAAAATCTCCGACCTGAATCATTATCAGACCAAGAAGTTTTCAAAGGGAGCAACAAATTGTGAAGAATCGCACTTCCTCATTCAACTTTGGATCATCTTTATCAAAACAAATGTTATTCAAATTCAATTTTACGTCTTCCATAGATAACCCTCACAAAAAAAATAGAAATCGAGAAAACAAATTAGAAGCCCTAAATAACAAATAGAACAATATATCAAGAAAAAAAATCTGAAACTAAAGAAAATAATTTGTTTAATAGAAAACTTACCTGGCCCTTCAATGATGGTCGTATTCCAGTGAAAGAGAAGGGTGTAAATTGAATTAGAATTATAGGTAAAATGAAATAGATATAGTTTAATTCCTATATTGATACGTTAAATTTAATGATTTGGCCTAAAAAATTAGTAGGTGCCCTACGCGCTTATGTGTCATGTTTTCACGCACTTGATCAGATGGGCAAACATATATGTTTAAAATATGATATGAAATAGTCTAGCGGGTAATAGATCCTCATGAAAATTAGATATTATAACAACAAATTCGGCTAAAGTTCGGATATATTTCAGATTATTTTCATATTATATATATATATATATATATATATATATATATATATATATATAGGAATATTCACTTAATTATTGATATTCCACTCATTAAGTCATTCAACAATTTTTTAAAACTTCATTAGAAAAAGAGTGGAAAAATTTTCTTTCTTTAAAATACGAAAAAAGCCCTAAAATATCCTTAAACCATAAGAAAAAGTTTTTTTTTAAAAAAAACCTTTATCTATTTATTTCTCACTTTTTTGTTCACTTTTTTTACCTTCAAAATTAGCGGTCTCGCTTTGTTTTATTTAATTAAAAAATATATATAATGAGTAATTTTGTAAATTAAGAATGGCCCCACTAGACCGATGAGACGGCACACAAGATCAACAAAAAAAATTACATGTTAGCAAATATATTTTTTTAATTATTATTGTTATTATTATAAACTTCTTTATCAAATATCTGGTTATACCAATTTCAGAGGCAAATTGTTATACTCGAAGGGGCGCCTAAAGTAGGATATAGAATTAAATAAGAGGATCTTGAAGTTAGGGAGTTACTTTTTATAAAAGAAATAAGAAAAAATAAAAATAGAAGCTAAGAATTGAAAACAAAAAAGAGATACAAGTGAACTTTTTATAAAAGAAATAAGAAAAAAAGAAAAATAGAAGCTAAGAATTAAAAACAAAAAAAAGATACCAGTGAACTAAAGATTAAATGTTTTATTGACAAATTACAGAAATAAATACTTTTTGTTTTACTTATATCTATTATTTTCTATTACTTTCAAAAATTTCATAATTTTTTATTTTTTAATGTGTTCGAGTCAGTATTTAATGTATATGAGCTATATATTGTGTATCTAAGCTAGTTATTAATATATTCGAATTACATATTTATGTATCCGAGACATTATTTAACGTATTCGTACTACATATTAATGTATTCGAGCTTTAATTATTGTATCCAAATTTTTTAATTTTTAAGAAATGTAATTAGAAACTTAGGGATAAATTGTAATTCCATATTAAAACTATGGAATTTATGTAATTTACACTAATAATAAAATGAGGAAAATCGGTTTGATATACCCCTCAACTTTCTCATTTAGAGCTAATATATGTCTCGTTATGAAATAGCTCGTGTATACCCCTATTGTTATACAAATAGCTCACATGTATCCTTTTTCATCTAACCCAAGTGAATAAAAGTAACTTTTGGTATAAAATAATATAAGTGGATGTCCACTACACCAAGAAGTTACTATATAATCTTATACATTATGAAGATAAACATAATATCTATAACCTCCAACTTTATTACCATTACTCTTGTAACTTTCACTTTCATAACCTCCCCCATTATATTCATGTTATTGTCATGTTTATGACTAACCTTTTGTATGCCTCTATGTTAGACTATAAATAGAGGCATAAGGGTTCATATTGTATACGCTTGAAGAATTGATGAACACATGAAAGAAATAAAGTTGGCTTACATTGTTCTTCTATTGTCTTATATTCTTCTTCTCTTCATCTTGTTATCATTTTTTTATTCTTAAGTTTTATAAAACGTTATCAGCACGAGTTGCTCATCCTCCGTCAAGAATCAATGGTAGATACTTTTTATTTTATTTTATGAATTATCCTAGTAATTCTTCATGCAAGGTATACATGCGGGGAGCCACAGCAGCTGTCTGTTGTACTTCCTGAACCTGAGGTGCTGGTGCAGAAAACACTGGAGGTGTCTGGCCTTGATCAGATAACCCTCTAAGATAAGCAAGAACCTGATTAATCATCTCTGGGGTAAGTTGGGGTGGTAATTCCTCATTCTGCACTTGCTCATTCTCCCCTTCCTCACCCTCTCTTATCACTTCCTCAGTCGGTGGAGGAGTCACCGCCCTAGTACTAGTTGGGCTAGGTGCTTGTCCTCTTCCTCTAGGGGACGTCCTCCCGCGACCTCTACCACGGCCTCTTGCCACTGCTCCTCTCCGAGCTACAGCCCCAGTGGCTGGCTCAGACGCATCTTATCTTGCCGGTGTCGGTGTTGGTGCAGTCGTTGCTCTAGTTCTAACCATCTGCGAAATAGAGTGAAGATGGTCAGATACCAATTTGTATCACCTAGATACCAATTGGATCCAGGTAATAGCACGAAAGAAAGAAAGAATGAAATTTTCCTAAAGTCCTATAGCCTCTCAAAGAAAAGTAAAGGCGTCCCCCTACCGTTCCTTAAGACTCTACTAGGCTCGTTCTTGTGTGATGAGACCAACGAACCTAATGCTCTGATACCAAGTTTGTCACGACCCAAAACGAGCCGCGAGTGGCATCCACACTTATACTACTATGTGAGCGAACCAACCAATCTAAACCCCAACATTTCAAACATAATGAACAAAATACAATGCGGAAGACTTAAAACTCATTAACGAAATCAATTAAATAACTTCTAAAATTTATCAATCATTATCCCCCAAAATCTGGAAGTCATCACCACAAGAACATCTATCCTCAAATTACTAAATCTAAGAGTATCTAGGAAGCTAGAATAAATAAACAGCTAGTCCATGCCGGAACTTCAAGGCATCAAGACATGAAGAAGAAGATCCAGTCCAAGCTAGAAGCATTAGCTCACCCTGAAATCTGGTGTGATGAAGACTTGCTAGAGTTGCGGTTGACTTGAAGACGATGGCACGTTTGCTGCACAAGTAGGGGTCAGTACAAACACAAGTACTAAGTAGGTATCATCGGCCAACTCAAAATAGAAAGCAATATATGTCAGATAATAACATAAAATCAACTAATATTCTCAACAGGTGATAACAACAAATACCGTAACCATTGGTCACAACACCCAGCACATCAATGAGGACTCAAGCCTCCTCATCATACTCATTTGGAAATAAGTTCTTTAAAATTGAGTATATTAACATAATTCAAGATCCATTCTCTTTATTCCTCTTGTGTCGGTACGTGACACTCCGCTCCACTACTACTATCCTGGTGTCGGAACGTGACACTCCGATGCCCTACTATCCTGGTGTCAGAACGTGACACTCCGATCCATATACTATCCTGGTGTCAAAACATGACACTCCGATCCATATACTATCGTGGTGTCGGAACGTGACACCTGATCCATATACTATCCTGGTGTCGGAACGTGACACTCCGATCCATATACTATCCTGGTGTCAGAACGTGACACCGATCCTCTATTACTATCCTGGTGTCGGAACGTGACACCCGATCCTCTAATCTCATTACTTTAGTTCATCAAGCCTTCTTTTATACCAAGGCATCATCATTAACAAAGTAAATTTAAGATTTAAGATTCACAGCCTCATCTTCCCAATCCATTACAATTACATAATCACATCATGCAAGCACACAATTAAGCATATAGAAGACTTTATAATACTACCCAACACATATCATTCGCTATTAAGAGTTTACTATGAGATAGTATAAACCATAACCTACCTCCACCGAAGAATCTTGATCAAGCAATCTACTTTCCCAAAGTTGTGTTCTTCTAATCCTCTCGTTCGTTCGTTTCTCCCTCTCCTTGTTCTTTCTATTTTTCTTATTCAAACCCTTTTTCTTTTACCCTAATTTTCATATAATTAAGTATAAAAGATGATAACAATAACCCACTTTTTATTTCAAGGTTATCTCCTTTAACCCCCAAGTAATTGAGTTATTAACATTAACCCACTAACTTTATAATTATAAGCATGAATAGTCCAAAACGCCCCTTAAAAACTTTTACAGAAATTCGACCCAGTCAGGGTTACGCAACCTGTGACGGTCCGTCATGACTGT